ACTCCGAGTTCCTTATAGGCAGCAGTTTCTTGATTCTAGATGTTGGGGGATATTCTTGATCTCTATTTACTGTGGAAGGAAGAGCTGTGAGCACAGGGCACTGTCTCTGCTGGTCAGTCTTTATCAGAGACCGCGGTCCGCGGGATGCTGGGCCTGGAGTACAGATGCTGACGCTCGAGAGCAAGCAGGCTGGGAGGGCGCACTCCCAGGAACCACCACGGACTTTATCTACATGATGAGGTCCTTTGCGTGAGGACAACGACGGGTCCTCTAAAAAGTGGGGATTCTTTTTTTCCTTTTGAATAGGTCAAATATTCCCCCTGCAGCCCTCCTGCTGCTCAGCAGATCCTTTCTACATGGACAATGGAGCGAAAATGTCACCCAAGTTTATGCCCAAATTAACATGGGCTTGGGGAGGTCCCTGGGTAGCTCTCAATCTGCCACCAAAAAAAAAAAGGTCTAGAAACTATTGCAGCAACCGCTTACAGAGGCAAAAGACATTAGGTGGGGACCTTGAGGGAATGGAAACCTTGAGGGGTGAAACCTGCTGTGTATGCTGCACCTGTGCAGACACGAAGCCAGGAAGGCAGCGGGGGCGGGTGCAAAAAGCCGGGGGCTGGACCTGGGAACACCTGGGTGGGACCTTCAGCCCTACCACTCCTTACGTGTGTCTGTGGACAAGTAAGTTTGCCCATCTGTGCCTCAGTTTCCCTCCTGCACAATGGGGATGATGTCTGCCCCAGGGAAGCCAATGAAATGCCCATGGGGGCCTGGCACACAGCCTGGCAGAGAGCAGATCCTACCTCCTGTGCCCAAATGTATAGAGCCTCCCAGCCCCCTGAGGATCTTGTTCACGTGCACATTCTGATTCAGCAGGTCTAAAGCCACACGCTATACAATGCGTTTCTAACCCTCTCCCGGGCGATGATGATGCTTCAGGTCCAGGACCACACACCGAGGAGCCAGGCTAGAGACTGAAGCCCCATGCGGGCAGCGGCTCAGTTATGTGCTGGTGAGTCAGCAGGGGCCCCTCGGTTAGCGGTTTGGGCAGCAGCATACCATCTCCACGTGATAGCTCCAGTGACCTCAGAGTGACGTGTTTAACCATTTTGTTGCCTCCTGTCTGTGCCTTCTGCAGTTGGGGTCAAACATGGTGAGCAGGAGGGTGCTCACACAGGATGGAAACAGGGTGCCATTCGGGATGGGTCTGGGGGCTCAAGGGAAGCAGACGGAGCATGTAACGCCCTCTGCCTCTGCTCTCCCCACCACTGTAAAGGAGGCCATGCAGAGATACCTGTGAGGACAGTAACGCTTCTGCCTCCTGTTACTCCTTCCAGTTCACAGATTGTGCTGGTTTCCAAACCTGGCTGCTCATCAGAACTTCCCTGAGGTGTAATCTGTTAAACATTCCTGGACCTCACTGGAGATAGTGGTTTGCCCGCAGTGCTGTGTGGCGATGCCTGAAGACATTTCTGGTTGTCACACTGCAGTGTGCTGCCCGCAGCCAGTGGGTAGGGCCAGGGATGCTGCTCAATGGCCTGCAGTGCACAGGGCAGCCCAGAGCATGGGATATCCAGCCACAGTGTTACCAGTGCTGAGGGTGACAAACTCTGCCCCGGATATACTCAAGTTTGTACCCAGGAATATGTGTTTAACAAATGTTTTCAGGGGATTCTGGTTAAAAGGCAATATAAAGAAATGGATACAAATATGGCCTTTGGAAACAGATATGTGTGGTCATATCACCTTGCATAAGGTTTTTGATCTTTCTATGCCTCGGTTTACCTATTTAGAAAATAGAATAATAATAATAATTTTGATATACTCAAGTTTGTACCCAGGAATATGTGTTTAACAAATGTTTTCAGGGGATTCTGGTTAAAAGGCAATATAAAGAAATGGATACAAATATGGCCTTTGGAAACAGATATGTGTGGTCATATCACCTTGCATAAGGTTTTTGATCTTTCTATGCCTCGGTTTACCTATTTAGAAAATAGAATAATAATAATTTTAATTATCTATCTATCTATCTATCTATCTACCTACCTAATAAGGTTGTTGTAGGGTTAATGAATCAAGACAGACAAAGTGGTTAGAATTATCCTGGTCTGGAGTCATTAAAAAAATATTGGCTACTATTGATGTTGTCATTATTATCATCAATAGGCAGGGTTGAAAACTGGGGGGTGAGATGATCAACAGGCCTGGCCTTGGTTGCCTGCAGAGGATGCTGGGAGGTATGGTGTGGGGGCTGCAGGGCACCGTGGGCTCACCTGGAAGCGGTGGAAGTCCTGCGGCTTGAAGTCGTTGGGGGAGCAGCCGCACCAGTCCACGATGTGCTTGTACTGGCACTTGCAGCCCAGCTTGCGGTTCCAGTTGGTGATGCGCAGGTTGTTGTCCACCATGGTGTCGCAGTGGGGGCTGTTCTCCAGGACCGTGTGGAAGAAGGACTGCAGGGGAGAGAGGGACCAGCCTGAGACCGCTTCCCGCCTCCCTCGAATGGGCCGGGTGGGGTCCTTCCCTGGGACCCCTGCCTGCGAAGGGGCTCTCTTGGAGACTCATCTGTTCTTTCTGTCAATGGGTCAGTGTCGGTCTGGTCCTACTCAGGGTGCACTGGATGTTTTGCCCAGACTGGCTGAGTTCTGCTCAGAAGTCTAATGTCCTGAGTGTTCCTCTAATGACCTTGCCCCAGCAGTCTAAAGCCCGATTTCAAGATATCTCTTACCAACCAGGACAAGAGAGAAAAAGCCCCTCGGGATATGTCAACACATGGGGACCAGAGGAAAACATGGGGATAATTATTCAGAAAACCTGGGGCCCTTAGGCTCTTGCTTTGCAAATAGCCAGGACTGAGAACAAAGGGATTCAGCTCTGAAATATCTTGAGAAGACAGACCAGTGCTCTGGAATTTCACCCCTGGGTAAGGGAGGTCAGATTCATGGGTGCATCAGGCCCCAGGGAGCCCTCCTGACTTAGCTGCTGGAGTAGGTGACTACAACACAGGCCGGTGAAGGGTGGGGCTGCCTGCTGTCCATGGTGCTGAACCAGGGACCATTGCTTTCCCCAAATCCTGACTCTTGGCCCACCTCTCCTAGGAACTTGCAAAAGAGGCAATGTTGAGAGTGAAAAGAGAGACTGGAGAGGAGAGATATGGTTAGAGATGCAGAGAGACAGAGACTGAAAGACTGAGAGAGAGAGACAGGGAGGGAAGGAGAGAGAGAGAGAGAAAGAGAAAGAGAGAAGGGAAGGTAAGACGGAGATGCTGGAATGGAGGAGGGGGTCTAACAGGGACCTGGAGTGTCACGTGCCTTGTGTACTGGGACAGGGATGGGACAGAGAGACAGTTCCAGGATCAACATCTTGATGAAAAGAAACAAAGCCTCCAACAGTCTCTTCTCAAAGGGTGGGTGGGCACAATGAGGCTCCACTCCCCCTCCGCCCTCAGCTGACCTTCCTGTGATGCTAAATGACATGTCCGTGAACCTGGGTTTTAAGCTTGAGTTGTCTCCAAGCCCACGGAGGCCCATATTCTCCATCAAGCCGTGGGGAAAAGCACCCAATTACCAGCTGCCCTGTGTCCTTTCATAACGATACCGAAAGTCTCCTCAAGATAATGGATGAGGAGGTTATCGGAATTGAGAGAAAAGGTGGTGTTTTGCTGAAATAGGATTAAAAGCTGATTACTTAACATGTGTGCAGAATAGCAAAACCTGGCCCGGTGACAAGAAGCCCATCATCTCTCTGGAGTGAAGCGGGCAGCCGGCCCTACCCAGAGCTCGCCACCGCCCCAATGTTGGTGAGAAACATGGACACCATCAGATGAGATGCACTGTCTTGTCTGGACTAGAAACACGTAACCCCAGTGGTGCCGAGAGGGGGCACAGGCCGGAAGGAATGGTGGGCCAGTCGTGGGAGGTGTCACGGGAAACAGAACCAGCTCTGGAGTTTTCTGAAGTAGGAAATTAGGAGCTGGAGGTCAGGGAGCTTAACCTGGACTCTCTCAGCCCGGGTCTGATGAAGAGGCTGCTGGCACGTCAGTGGCCACACTCCAGACGGAGTGTTTCAGAACAGCCTGCAGTCTTCCAACATTCAAAGGTGTCTGTGTCGCCCCAACATTCACAGGTGGAAATCGTAACCCCCAATGTGATAATGTTACAAGGTGGGGCCTTTGGAAGCTGATTAGGAGATGAGGGTGGAGCCCTCATGAATGGGGATTAGTGCCCTTATAAAAAAAGGGGCCCAGAAAGATCCGTAATCCCTTCGGTCCTGTGAGAAGACAGTGAGAACTGTCCGTAGGCAGTCTGCGACCTGGAAGAGGGCCCTCCCCCGATCATGCTGGCACTCTACCTGGGCCACCTCGCCTCCAGAACGGTGAGTAGTACATTTCTGTTGTCTGTAAGCCACCTACCCTATCGTATTTTGCAGCCCAAACTAAGTCAGCTTCCCACCCTGGGGTCTGAAAAGTGGTGACGGACTCCCCAGAGCTTTTCAAATACTTCCAAAAGCCACGGGAAGTGCCGAGTCCCAGGCACGTGGCCATGAGGGCTGTCGGTGCACCTGGCACAGGCCCCGCTGCTGTCTTTGGGACCACTGCGATTTCTTGTCTGACCGATCAGGCCAACACTAGTGTCTGTCTGTCAGGAATTGAAAGGACAATATTCAAAATCAGAAGAGGGAATCTTGGTTGAGAAAGCCGTTACAGGATTGGTGATTGCAGCGCTGATATGGGTGTGTCCTGAAAGGGCCGGCCTGCACAGATGTGCGGATTCCACTCTGCTCCACTCTGGAGTGAGGGGTTGCCATCAACAGAGCAGGTCAACACTCAGAGGCTTGTCATTTTTTAAGTAACAGTTTTCTAGAAAATGGCAGTAAGTGCCTTATTCTACATAAAATTAGTATGTGATTATTTTAGGACCCATGCAAGCCAAGTGTCTTAAGAAAGGGATGCCTTTTCCACTTTGCATGAAGACACTGTGGACTGCTGGTGGCAGCACTGTGCTGTGTCCATAGACTGGAGGGGACCAGGGTCCCTGCCATTGCAACTAGGTCCCTGGCAGTCAATGCCGCTCTCCATCCTCATCTGGTTGTTTGGAGGGCTCTGTATTGGATTCAGCATTGCTTTGCCAAAAATTCAGAAAAAAATTCAGTATCTGCTTTGCTCTAAATGCCAGAGCCAGCCCCGGCCATTCTGGGGGATTCTTTTCTGGGTCACTCACCTCGGCAGGAAGCAGGGTGTAGGAGTAGAATTGCTTCATTTTAGTCACCAGATCGTCCGTGGAGAACGTCACATACTCCACAAACTTGCGGTTCAGCAGGAACCAATCGGAGCCGCCATCCACGGCAATGCCCTCTGGGATCCGCCGGTCCCCCAGGCGCCACATGTGGGCGTCACACTCCAGGAAGAGCCGGTCCAGGCCCTGTTTCCGGATGAACCTGAAAGACACAAAGAAGTGATTAGCCCAAAGGTGCCTCCACCTGGTGTCCAAATGAGATGGCACAATCCCAGCGGTCAAAGCATTTATGGAGCACTGACTGTGTGCCAGGCACCGAGCCAGGGCTGTCCCTTGGCTTTCACGGAGAGACAGGTCACTCTACCCCTCTGAGGCGGGTGCTATTATTACACCCATTTTACAGATGAGGACACTGAAACTCAGAGAGTTTAGGGCACTTGCGGAGCACAATTAGATAGCAATGATCATCCAGCACACCTACTTCCTCTTTAGAGAACTCTGAAATCATCTTTTCATGCCGTGGATGCCTTGGTAACTTAGTGAACACAGCCTGTGGACACTCATCCTAGAAACATGTTCTTAAATCATAACACACAGAATTACAAAGTATTTAAAAAACAGAAAGTTTATGATATAGTAATTCTGGTGCTTTTTGATTCACACATGAAATACAGGATTACAAAGTATTTCTTAAAACATCGAATTTATGATAATTACATGTGGTGTAATTATCGACACACAAGATCTTGTGGCAGGTCTAATAACTATTGTAAATGTGAGGAAGTGGTGAGGGTAAGTGACACTTAGACGTAGACTCATCAGCTACTATGTGATATGAAAATATGTGACTCTTAACAGTTACTGCTCACACTACTGTGGTTTGGTCTTTATATTTAGGTAGATTTCAGTGAAAATAAACAATGTTTTCCTCCCATTCAACGTCATGGGCCCTCAGAACTCCATCTATGAACCTCAGATGGACAACTGCTTGAAAGTATAAAACATAAATATTTGGGATTTTGCAAGGCAGGCTGGCAGCTCTGGCACTTCCTGTTTTGTAAATGCAGAAAGCAATGGTCGAAGAGCTGGTAATACAGGTGTGTGGGGACATTGGACAGAGCAAGAACCCAGCCTCTGGCCCAAACTCTGTGCATTTACGGTGAGCATTAACTGCACACTTACTATGTGCCAGGCATGGTGCTGGCCCTGTGCAGGGCAAGGAGGAGTAAGGATGATCCCTGCTCCTCAGGGGCTAGTTACCCAGTTGGGAGCTTAGTCTAGAGGCCTCCCCACTCAGGGATCCCATGCTCCTCCAGCTCTACAACATAAAGTCACCCACTTTAAAGTGTACAGTTCAGTGGCATGGAGTTCATTCACAACGTTGTGCAACCATCACCTCTATCTAGTTTCACAATATTTCATCACTCCAAAGGAGACCCCATGCCCATAAGCAGATCCCATGCCCCGTACCCCTTAACCCTTGGCAACCACCAAACTGTTTTCTGTCTCTACAAATTACCCATTTTGGATATTTCATATAGAAGGAATCCTATAATATGTTGGTCTTTTTTAATAAATACACTTTTATTGATCTTAAAGCGAGAGGAAGGGAAAGGGAGAGAGAGAGAAACATCAATTGGTTGCCTCCCACACGCACTCCGACCAGGGACCAAACCCACAACTTGGGCATGTGCCCTGACCGGGAATCAAACCGGTGACCTTTAGGTGCATGGGAGGATGCTCAACCAACTGAGCCACACCAGCCAGGGCTGTTGGTCTTCTTGTTTGGCTTCTTCCACTTACCATAATGTTTTCAAGGTTCATTCACATTGTAGCACATACTGGTGCTTCATTCCTTGTTTCTGTCTATCCAGCATCCGTTCCTCAGTTTTCTGGGAACCACATCTCCACTGTACTTTGGACAGTCCCTAATCTTCAACTTGGGTTTGCACCTAACCCTAACACCAGGGGCTGAACATAACCCAGGCTGGTCAGTTCCATCTGCTTGGCTGCCATATTGGTTCAGGAATGGGTGAGAGATTCAAGCTGGTTTTGAGATTGGGTCCTGGAGTTTTTGCTGAATTTACCAGGATGGAAGAGCCTTCTATGGGATTCTTAGCTGAGAGAATGCAAGCCTAGAGCTGGCTGGCAGCCTCTTATCACCATGAGTACAGAGGTTGTCTGACAGTGGAGGTAACACAGAAAGAAGTGGGATGGAGGCCACATTACATGGGAGCCCAGGGAAAGTTGCCAGCTTTCTGAGGACACAGAGAGACACATGAAGGACAGCAGCCAACCAGAAGGCCCAGGTATCCAACATCTCTGGTCTTGTTCTTTCTCTAACACATCTTTCCACGTGCCAAATCCAAGTTTGGCCTCACATGGACGAAGGATTAGGGATCTCTTTGGGGGATGTGACCTGGTGGAGGTTTTTCATTATACTCGCCTTATCACACAAAACTTGGATTTAACCAGTTCATTAAAAGGAGCCCTGAGTTTAGGAAAATAAAATCCTATCTCGACTCTGGTTGATGCTAACTTATACAATAATATATAGTTGGTGCATTTAACCATGCATAACACTTTAAATTTTATATAATTTATACCAAAACTTACATGGTAACCAAGACTAACCCAGAGAGAGAAATAAAAGGTATCCAGGTGCGAGGACTTGCAAAATTTTTCTTTCCATGGACCAGCGTTGTAATTTTATGTTCCATTATATGGGATAATAGCATCGCCTTGCAATTTTAATGTGATGTCCCAGACCATAATATCCAAATACAATATTTATGCAGTAATCTCCAAAATGAAATATTCATGGGGTTGGGAGATTGGTTGCTGTATTTACTGCATTCCCAAACTGATAAGCTGCAAACACATGCTTTGGTTAATTATGAGTAAAAATAGAGACAACTGTTCCCAAGGTTTCAGAAAAAGTTTCTGGGTTGAGAGGCGCTACTGGGACCTGGGTCTGGGCTGGGAGAAGGTGGCAGAGAAGGTGTCAGAGACCCAGGGTCTGGGTATCTAGCAGGTGAAAGGAATCAGCTGCTTAGGACGTGACTTGCTGTGTTTCCTGCCCTGTGCATTAACCATAGCTTGGAAAGGTCAAGGTTGGAAATCAAGGTAAGTCAGTAAACTCCTGGATGTGCCTTTTCCTAGATGCAGGCTCACCAGTAAGCATGGTTCTCAAGGAGGGCAGATTGATTTGCAGCAACGGGCTCAAGACACTGAAGGTGACTAATGACGCTCTCCTCCCTACAGTTTCATTTCTCATTGACTTGGTTACCTGGGGCAACTGGGTCAATAGGTGGAACTACAGAAAACTACAGTCATAGCTAAATAGGGGTTAACTGGGATGTCACAGGTACCCAGTCTACTCGGCTGAGCATCAAGGAAACCAGATGGGAGGTGAGGAGGGGCCCTGATTCTCGCCCCTAGGAGAAGAATTCAGTTAAGAAAGCATCGGTAGCCTTTGGGAATGATCTCTGAGAAGGCAGGCAATGAAGAAGCCCCTCAGTTCAGTTAATTCCCTTGCTGCAATCTCAGCATTGTCATTGAGTATGAAATTATTCCAGAACTGTCTTGTCCTGTAATGAGTTCTCAAAGGAGGAACTCTGCCCCTCGGATTTTACAGAGTGTTTGAGCACGAAGGGATCTTAGCAATCAGCTAATATAACTAATTCTACAGATTAAACACACAGACACAGACACACTGAGACCCAGAGGGATGGATGAGCCAAAGTCATCCAAAGTCACACAGCCTAGGGAAAAAAATCTCCCCTCCTCCGCTTTTCCTGCCCAGTGATCTGTCACTGAACCCAGATTACTCCTTTAGCATAAGTACAACCTAAGCATTTTAGTTAAAAAATAAAGCCATGGGACAAAGCATGAAAGCCACAATGTCGGAAGTCAGTCAGCCATGTGAATGGGCTCCCTCATGACAGCCACATGATAATGCGGGGGCCAAGCTCCGGGCACTGGAGCCAGAATATCTGATTCAAGTCCTGCATCTGCACTAACCTTGGGCGACCTGAACATGAGACGGCTCAGTTTCTCATGTGGAAGATGGTGATCATGAGAACAGCTGCCCTTACAGAGTTGGTGTGAAGGTTTAAATGAGATGATAGATGGAGAGGGCTTAGCAAAGTGCTCACCACATAGTAAGTGCTCCATAAATGCTCACCAAGATGCTTAACATTTTTCCTTTACCAAGCTAGAAAATTTAAAATTCTATCTCTCCTGCGATTTGGTATAGTTACATGTAGGGCACCCGCATAACTAAGGAGAAACCCTGTCTAAAAGGAAAAAGCAGGATATTTCAGCACCAAGGACAGTAGCCAAAAGCCCCCCCACAACGAACCCCATCTCCTGCTATTATGTTAGTTAAGCAATGCCCATGGTTGTGGTGGCAGAGGTGGCAAGTCTCATGGGTATCCTAATTCTGTCTGAGCACCATGAATACAAAACCCTCCCATCTTTCCATGCCATGAGTCAGTGAGGATTCAGCTCACTGGGTTCCTAGTTTGGCAGCTCCATAGGGGCCCTGCTGGCCATTTGTCTCAGGCCTAGGGTGGGTTGTGACCCTTCCTGACCTCAGCTGCCTGGCAGATGAAGGGGGCTTGGGGCATTCCCTCGTTCAGCAGCTCCTGAGAGCCCCTTCAATACGCCAGGTCTATGTGCTGAGAATCTGCTCGTAAATAAGATGGACATCACCCCTGCCCTTCTTCTCTTGTAGAGATAGAGATAAAAGAAGGAAATAATACCATCTACCATTCATTGAGCATGTGCTATTTTCTAGGCCCTGCTCCTCATACTTAACATGTATTCTCTCATTTAGTATTCACCACGATCCTTCTTTTTACAAATGAGGGTTCATTTTACAAATGAAGGAATCAAGACACAGAGCGAGTAAGTACTTTTTCCAAGGCCACCCAGCTGGTTAGTGGCAAGGGTGGGATTCAAACCTTAGCAGTCAGGCTCTGGATTCCACACTCTTAGCCACAAGGTTATAATACCGCTCTAATCAATAAACAAGTAGACACGGGAAGCTACAAAACACATTAATATGTAATTAGAAGTTTGTGGTAAGTGCTCTACAGAGAAACTCAGAGTGCGATGACAGAAAATAAAGAGATGGGGCTTAGCTAGTGATGACGGCTGGGGAAGCTTCACTAAGGAGGTCACATTTAAGCTGGGTGA